TACATATGGAATACAGAGAAAAGCAATTCGTGACTTGTGATCTTATTCTGTATACATTCTTTTATGACCTTAATTTTTAATAGTTTCTGATAGTAAAGTAAGGATGGCAAAAATTGTTATCATGTTTCCCTTTACAGAATAGGACAAATATTGTGATCTCTTGTTTCAGCTTTTATTCTTTTGGGTTTTTTGTTAGGCATGAATTTGTTGTTTGGTTGGTTAGGGTTTTTACCTCCTGTAGCCTGAGAGAAGAGCAAGGATATACTCTAATTTTCCATTCTTCCCTTGGCACTTGTAGCTGAAATAATAAGATGAAATAACCTATGAGTAGGTGATTCAGAAAGCTCCTTGTAATAGACAATCCAGTACCCCTATATCATGGAAAGCTTGCAAAGCAGACTGCTAAAACATTGCTGAGCCTTTGTACCCAAAGCTATTGGTCTTTAGGGTTCCTAATACATGTAGGCTTTCAAGTCCTACTTTCAGAAGTGTTTTAATTGATCTGAGTGCCTTCATACCAGATTTTATTAAAGATACTGGAATAAAATGCTTGAGTAACTCCTCAAAACTTTTTCAATTTAGTAGAAAAGCTTTTGCATACGTTTATTTTCAAAAATGCTGGGAGAAAAAGTGCATTTCCTCTGAGCCTTTTCTGAGGTGATTTGTGCATTCGCTCACAGTGCTGGCCCACTTGGCTCTGTGTTTTCTAGGAAAGAGGTCTGTGCTCGACCACTGAGGCATGTGGTAAAAGCATCAGTGTTCGGCTTGACTGGTCCTCTTGCTGCCCAAGTATGAGTGCTGGTACAGAGTTCCAGGACTGGTCATCATTTAGACAGCAGTCTTGTTAGTTCAGATAGCTCAAACATTTGAAAGACTAAATGCTAGCTACTCCTTAATGAGTTATGAAGTTCAGTTTAAATATCTGAAAGCTGAAATATTTTATAGTTACATTTTTAACTATAATTAGTATGAACTGAAGATGTCAAAAGTAATGTTGTGATAACCTCTTTTGTGTCACTAAACTGAGATAATTACTAGAGTGTTTTAATTTGTCCAATTAAATTCATAGTCCTTACTAATGGATCCATTACCTTTTTACAAAATGCCACATGTTGATCTCATGGAAAAATCAAATAGTCAATATAGTAAGCACGATTGCTTCAAATCATAGTTGCTTTGTTAGAAGACTTATTGACAGCCTCCAGTCAGATGCCGAATTCTACACTGAGAACCATTCTGTACTTTTTGTGTTTTTACAGTTACCAAACTGAAAAGACTTTCAAAAATGCCTACTGTTGAATTGTGCTGTGAAATTCAAAGTTTTACCAATCTAAGTACTTTTCGTTTACAGTCAAAAATTCACAAGTGATTATTTATGTCAAATATGACTTTTATATCAGTAGTCATTACATCCTTTGTTTTTCTTTACTGCAAAGCCATTTGGTGGAGAGAAGTCGTCTATTGAAAATGGATCTGTGATCCAGTTTTTCTTTGTTAGTGGTGGGAAAGGTGTTTTGGGGGTTGGGTTTTTTATTTATTTGTGTGTCTTTATTAAATTTGGTGGGTCAAATTCAGCCTCATACTTTTATGCTAACTTTGAGGTCGAAGTGAATTTTCACTTCATTTTCAGCAAGGATTTTTTTTAAGGTTTGCCAGTGATGGCAATTTTCTTCTTCCTGTGCTACTAGCTGCAGTTTACAGTGCCTTTTTTGTCAAGAACATGTAGAAAGCGCGGCTTTCAAGCACTGCAAACCAATATCCAGTTTGTTGAGACATCAGTTAAGTAAGTTACCTGTGGCTCTTTGCAGTCACAACACACACTCAAAACAGTCAATGTTTAGGAATAAAATCACTGTGAAAAACTTCAGAACAGGCCTCGGGAAGAGCTTGAGCTTGTCTCAGTGGTTGCTTCTGATTTCAATGGCACAAAAATGAAAGTCACCATGAGTTCGTTCAATGCTTCTGCTTTAGTAAAACTGATCAGTGTTACAACTAAATGCGGACTTATTGTCAGATGGACATTCGCTCAGTGTTTTGCAAAGAGTATTGTGTGAAAGAGCTGTAACTTTTGCTGCTGTCTCCAGTTTTGAGTCAGTGTTTGCATTTGAGTAGAGAACAGGCTGTTGCACTTTAACCACTCTTTCCCCTAGTTTTGCTCTCTATAGATGAAGTTTTAAAAAGTTCTGCAACTGTTAATCTTTAGTAGACATTTCTGATTCAGATCTTACCTGTGTCATCAAAATTAGTCTGTTGTAGCTTTTCTTTACATGTGTCTGTGCTTTCCTTTAGTGAAAGGAAATTCTGAAGTCTTTGTAAGGAGGAGACTTCTGAAATCTTCACACTAATGCTGGAGAGACTAAGGACTGTTTCCTTCTGTCTGCAGTCCATAGACTTCCTTTTTCTTAAGTCAAGTACCCCTCCTTTAACAATTCAGACTAATTGCAAATAATCAGTGTCAAACCTTCTCAAACTCCTGCAGCATTTGCTGATTGTAGCAGGAATACCAGTAGATCCTGAAATCTCTTAGGTTGCCTTCTGCATGTTTTATACTTTTTTTTCTTATTTCTCTGTATATGTGTTGGGAAAATTTTCAGTGGGGGGGAAAAGAGATTGAACTTAGAGAGCGGAGAAGGTGCCAACTCAAGGTGTGGGTGAAAGTCTTGCCACTCTGTTTAGGCAGCTTTGGCTCCTGGGATTTTTTTCATTCCTCAGCAGCTCTAAGCACCTCAGATACTGTTCTTTATGTAGCACTGGATATGTTTTAATCCCAAAATATTTTAGGTTCTGAGAAGCTACCCTTCTGTGTAACAGTTACATGTGTTCTCCTAGTCTTACAATTGCGCTTTTATCCACTGTATAAACTCATCGTCAACCATTCCAACCATTCTTCAACCATTTCAGCTGTAGGGAACTCACCACACATCCATGGTTTCTAAGCTCTTGCTAGTTTGCTCTATACAGTAAGTAACACAGGTGAATGGCTCTTTTGGATGGGTCCCCTTAGCAAGAGAGTGTTTCTGGTGGCGGTAGATTCTGCATTTATTTTGAACTTGAACATCAGCATGTGTTTGTCAGGAGGGACCTTAGCAATGAGTGATGGACCTCTACAGGCTTGCTTTGGTAGCTTCAGCTGTGCAGCTTGATAGATGCTGAAGGCTACCCCCAGCAGAATGCTAGCCAGCCAGCTGTGTGCCAGATGACAGCACGGCACCCAACTGCACACAGCCATCTCACATGACACTATTAAATAAAATACTGTACTACTGACATTTTCTTTAGCTGAAAGTGTCGGGGAGATGTGTGAAGTGCTGGTGTGTGGTTTGGTGTTGTTTTTATTTTTGAGCAGTCTGCTGCTCATTGCAACTGTTTGAAGGTAAAAAATGTTTGTAAAAGGGAAGGAGTTTGCATAGACTGGTTTCCAGCAAATATGGAAAAAATTTTCTCCGTAATGCTTTCCGTATTTGGAGCTTACACTTAGGAAATGAATGTGAGCGTTGCTCCTTAGGATAGCCACAATATGGTTGTGAAGTAATGCCGAGAGTGGTGTGATAAAGTGCAATTCAGTGTATGAAATTTCCTTCAAAAATGTGCTTTGTTTCCTTAATGCTCTAATATTCTTGCAATATAAATTTATTTTCTGTCTTACCTTAGAAGGAACTGCCTGTGATTTCCAAGGGAGTTTTGCCTAAGGTAGGGCTTGCAACATCAGGACCAGGAATTAGTGTAATGTGACCCACCATTTGTATTGCTTTGGGGTAAATTTGAGAGAGAAGATTTAACATTGTGTGTGTCATGCTGAGATATTGCAATATCTCGGATGGGTTATTAGGCACCAATCCAAAGGTTAAGTGCAGCAACCACATGAGATGTGGCTTTATCCTTACATGATCTGTGCCTGTGTTCTCTTTTGGAGTTCTCTGAAATAGGTATTATCCCTAGAATAAAACATGTTTATAATACTTTGTTGAAACCTATCCCAAGCTATTAAATGTCGTTTCACCAGAAAGATGTGTGCTTACATGTCATTTGGAATCTAGAAATCAATCCTTGTATGTGTGAACTCACTGACATTTTGAACCTGGATCCCAGTGTGCATCAGATAAATATCCACAACCTTTGGGAAAGTCTAGGTATGAATTTGCAGTTTAGGACCTTTTCTAATTTATATGAATATATCTTTTGGGGGGTTTATTTTCCATGCTGTTTTTGCTTGGCTTGCATTAAATAAAATGCTTCAATGGAGTGTGGTAGTCTAGCATTTGTTTTGCCTCAGGAGTAAATTGCCCCATCTTGCATATCTGGTCAAGTAAATTGCTCTCTTGCCTGTGTACTTCGATAATAATACTGGGCTTTAGACCTTCCTATACAACCCCCCAGTGAGCAGAACCACAAGAGGCTGGGCCTGTGTGGTGCTAGCAGTCTTCTCTATTGTAATGGATGCATTCATCTCCTATTTACATAAATTAATAGTTAAAACTTGTTTGGTTGCTTAAGAAAACTCATTAAGCTTTCAGAGTAACTGTATTATGAGCACTGTGGCAATCATTCCCATTGACTTATCTCCTGCTGGTTCACTGGGAACCCGTCCATCTCAGGGTCAGGTCCCTAAGCTTCATTGCAGAGTTAAACAAATAGCATTTAAAAGAAAAATAAAAATAATCTGTTCAATGCGAAGTGGATAAGTGGAAAGCTTCGTTATGAAAAAGAGGTCATGTTTAAAATTTTTAAAAATAAAATGCTATTTTTGTCTGCAAGGCCAGTTTTCTCTCAGGAAGTAGATCATTTTTTTATCCATTTTCTACTAGTCACTGGAGGATGTTTGACATTGTAAGAGAAAGGTCAGTTTGTATAACCTGAAGTGGGAGGAGATGTTTAATGTGAAAATGTGGCCAGATTTTTTGTTATTATTATTTGAATGTTCTGCTTTACCCTTTTAATTTATCATCTTCAGTATGTGATTTTTATTTTTTTCTATTTCTTATTTTTGTTTTTTTTTATAGATTGGAGAAAGAGAGCATTCAGCACAGCGTTAGCAATGAAGCAAAGGCCCGAGCCCTTCAGGCCCAGCAAAGAGAGCAGGAGCTGACACAGAAGATGCAGCAAATGGAGGCCCAGCATGAGAAAACTGGTAGGTGGTAGGGAAAGATTAGAGCCTGGGCACTCACTCACAAGCCAGGCCCACGCCTTACTGTGAAATGACATCAGGAACACCTGTAACCTTTGGCTGGCCGAAGGGAGCAGATGCTAACTACACCGGAGATTCCGAATTACATATTAGTTAGCGTTTAAAAGAGAAAATGGAAAGTATTGCCCACTGTCTGTTGATTTCAGAGTGCTGCTCTCACATCTGTTGCACCATCTGGATTATGAGTTTATTTACCTGTGTTCAAGAAACGTAAAGCTGAGAGAGACCACAACAAAGTAGAAAAACAAAGGGCTTGTTTTTGGCTGGATTTTCAGGCACACATGTTATATAAAGAAAATAGCATCAGAAGCTCTGCGGGAAATGCTCTGAGCTTACAGTTAAAGTCTCCTGAATAGCATTGAACAGTTCCCACAGTACACACATTATAGCTACTCTAAAAGCTTAATGAGTTTGCTTCGGCATCCAAACTGGAGAAAAGCTTTAGCCATTAATCGGTTCTTAATTCACTGTCGCAGCTGGATGTAATTCACTGGCTCCAAATTGATATGTTCCTTTATTTAATCTTTGCAGCCTCAAACATTTTTAGCATTACCATGTGCCCCCCCCACACACATCCTCAATCTAGAAGAAAGATGTTTAATCCCTTGCATACTTCAGGTTCTCAAAATAGGAGACTTCATTGCATTGACTTAGCCGATCAATAACTTCTAACTTTAATCTGGAAGTAAAATGGGTTTTCCAAACAAAAAAAAACAAAAAAAAGCCTTTTGTTATTGTGAAGTACTATGCCAGCAACAGTAATAAAGGTACATATTAAAAATAAACAAAACAAAAATTTTAAAAGAAGGGAAAGAAGGGTTTTTTTAGAGAGAAAATCTCTAACCCCTGAGCACAAAAGGAAGGAGGAGCTTCAGCTCTTATGGAACATGATATATTCATGTGTTTAATAAAGTACCGTTTGTACCCACTAGTCCTGCAATGCATTTAGGAAAACTACGTAACACATTAATCCTAAGAAGTGTTGGATAATACCTGAGGTACAGGCATGTTTATATCTGCTGTCTGATTTTCTGCCTTTTTTTCAGCATTATCACAGTACTAGAGGACTTTTCCGTGTGTTCAGGGAATGCAAACAGCTACATTATGGCTGCTGCCTACACTGTAAGAAAAGAAAAGGAGCTCTCAGAATCACCTTTCCCTCCTTTAGCCAGCACATCTGCATATGACCATGTGTAATTTTGCACAAGAGAGATGTAATTTACCCTCCTGGTGCATGAATTCTCCCAGTATACAAAAATGAAACAACATTAAGTTGTTTTTTATATCCCTAGCAGGATTAGGTTTGTTTTTTATATCCCTAGCAGGATTAGGAGTTGAAAATTATAGTCATTTATTATGTATATAAAGAAACCTTTGGCTGTTATGACCCTACACACATGCAAGGAATTTGGTTAAGAATGGTCTTGCTCTCTCCAATGTTAAAAGCAGACATGAAGAAACATCATTTTGTAGTATCTTCATTTTGAAAGAATGAAGATGCCTGAATGCTAGGTCATGAGTTTTGGTGCAGCCTAAAGTAACTGAAAATTAGTTTATAAAATGGTTTCACTCCAACTGTCATTGGAGAATAAGTCTATTTCTTATCATTTAAGAAAAAAAGTTACGTTAATTATAATAAGCTCAAGACCTGGTAAATAAAAGAACTGCTTTTTTAAGGAGATACTGAATAAGTCTGCAGTTGTAGACTCAAATGTTGTTTGGGTTGTCAGTGTGTCCTCTGCACCAGTTAAGCAAGCAAAAGTCTACTAAAGCATTGCTTGCCAATTTTATTTCTCCTAGAAATGTCAACTAACTTCTAGCTAAAAAGCAAAACCACCAGATTAGATATCTAGTCTTCACGGTTACTCTTCTCTTACAAGATCAGATTCAGTGGCAACATTGCTTTAACACTCTAGCTAATTCTGACCTAGAGCCTTATTTGGTAGATGATGGTGTCTAAATTCCATATCCAAGTAGCTGAAGTTTAAAAAACATTTCAAAATTGAAAGGATCTAGAAGAAAGAAAGTAGGAATATATAAAATTGTTTCTAAGTTATCTATAAATTTATATCATTAGAAAGTAACTTCATAGTTTCATAATTTTATGATTTCTAGTAGAAGAACTGGATTCATTGCTGACCTCCCAGAATACATTCATAGCAAAATTAAAGGAAGAATGTTGTATGTTGGCAAGGAAGTTGGAACAAATGTCAGAAAAATACAGGTTAGTATATTTTTCTTAACCTGCCCCTTTTATTACTAGGACATGCTTCCTTATTTTTTTATTTGTATTTTAATTTTAGTATTCATTTTGTCCCAGGTATCACACATCATATTAATGTAATATATACCCTTTAAGAAAAAGGATGATTCTAGTTTTCTGTTGTCCATATTATGTTTCTGGCTAATACTTTAAATTTCTTGGACGATTCCAATGTAAAAATTGCGTACTATTTTCTTCCTGATGTTCATATTCTTAATATGAAAGGCAGAAAATTGTTAACGAAGCTATAGTTCTAGTTTATCTGAAGTTATATGAAAAATGCGAAAGATTTAAAGTTGTCAAAATTATTGTCTGTTGGTTAAATTATTTACTTAAAGCTCCTTTCACAATACTATGCTACACACTGAATATTGTCTATGAAGTAATTGTTATCAAAATTGCTTGTCATTGAAGCTCTGATTCTGCTGCTGCTTATTTTCCATGAATAGCAAGTCTAAATTCCAAGCATTGAAAACTGAGGAAGAGGGCAAAACCTAGAAGCAATAATAATTTAAACAAATACGAAGCTATGGAGGTTTCTGTTTGGAAGTTCTATAGGACAGAACTATCAAGATTAGTTCTATAGCGGTAAATCATTTGATTTCACATTTTTAAGTGGGAAAACAGTATCTGTTGAAACTTTCTGTGGGGTTCGTATTTAGTGTCCTAAACTGGACTTCAGTGAAGAGTTGGCATTCTGCAGCTTCTTTATATTATATGCAAAGTGAATTTGGTAAGTAAGGCTAGGATTCATCTTGTAGCTGATGTGAGGTAAGGAAAACACTGAGCAAAGATGAAATTGGTTTTCAAGATAGGATTCTTCTTCTGCTAGGTGGATTTAATCATCCTCTCGCGATAACATAACAAGGGCAACACTCACTCAGTGACAGAGCTCATTTACCCCACTATCCTCATTCTAAGAATGGTCAGAGAGGAATAACATAAGTAGATGACAGACACACATATATATATGTCCATCTTATAGGATGCTTCCCACGGGTACTGCCTCCACTGTCCATCCTACTTTCCACCGAATATGAAGTGTTGACTAGCTGTTAAACAGCTGAAGCTGGGAGATGAATCCCATCCAGAGTGTTTGGGGAACAAATGAGAAACTTGCAGAACTGTAGGCAGTCTTTCCTTTCAAATGTTGTGATGGGTACTTGAGAGAGAAGAAAACAGAATTTTTCTTCTGAAAAAGCAGAGCTCTTCTGCTAAAGTAATGCAAAATCTAAATAGATTCGAATCGTATTATTATTCCAGCAATAAAAATGCACACAGACTTTGTTGCTAGAGCTCACAGTCACAGACTAGTAACTGTAAAGGATGAAGCAAAGACAGAAAACATACTGTGAAAACACATTATTCTCTGAAAATAAATACTAGAGATTGCCAAGTGTTTCTCCACCTAGCAGCATTAGCTGACTATGTCAGGAACCTGAAAAAGGGAAAAGGAGCCCTCTTGCATCTCCAGAAAGTGGTATATTTTACGCAAGAAACTGAAAAGAAGAATATATGAAAGTCGTTCTGAGAAGTGGCCCTAAAATAGCTTGAACTTGCTTTCATTGGAGCTGGAGCTGCTGCAGTCAGTAACAAGAATGGAGAAATGGGTAGGGACAAAGACAGAATGTAAAAATGAGAACAGAAAGGTAGAACAGGAGATGGTGGGAAATGAGTCTAATACAGATGACTTCAGAGAGTGATATGATCAGGTGCAGAAAATTACTTTGGCCAAGTTTTAGGTGCATGATCAGAATGTATCTTTCAGTAGCACTTCTCCAAAAGGCAATCTTTGTTCTCATTGTCACTGGATATAGTGTAAAACTAGAATTCTGGGACAGAATGTTGTAGCTTTGTCTTCTGAAAAAAAAAACAAAATAATTTGGGCAAGATTTCATAGCCTATTTCTAAAGTATATTAATAAAAGCAGATCACGAAGCAGCAGTGTGCTCAATTTGCATGGAAAATGTATTTTCTATTTTTGGTTTTTTACATGTTTTTGACCTTACCATAAACTGAATTTTGGACCTGGATATGTATTTTCTTGCTATACTTGTAGAGTCTTTGTGCCTTAGTTTCCGTGGGTTTAAGAAATAACTGTATACTACTAGTACCATTATTTAATTAGTGAAACACTCAAAGTCTTTTTAGAACAGATGCAATAATAAGTTTTATTTGAATATTCTTGCTTTTGATGGGAAGTGCCCATTTGTAATAAGAAATATTTCAAAATTATCTGTGACAACTTCATATTTTCAAAATTTCAGTGAGATGCATCCGAATGCAACATATATTTTTATGTTTAATGTGGGTTTTCTGAGAAACCTAAACTGAAGTTTATGTGTTTATATGTAAGCTGGAACCATTCTTGTGAGCTAGTCCCTATACAGAAATGTTTCAGAAGGACAATGTCAGACAAATTATAAACCTCTCAAGCTGTGCAGAAAGATGATAGTGTCTGTTAAGGTTTTCGTGTGCATAGGCATGTTTAAAAATATAGTCCTTTGTTGATTTCTTCTCTGGTTTTTTGTTCTTGTTTTTTTTTCTCTGATTGTCACTGTCTGAGTTTCTAGGTTGTAGATTAATGCTTAACGCTACCCACTGTGTATTTGTGATTTGCGTTTTGTAATTAAGGGGAACAATGGGAGTCCATTGGGTCTCGTTATATATAATGGTTGGTTTAATTTGTTTCACTTCTATCTTGTTAATTGTAAATTGATCATTAAGATTTGAATTCTAATCTGTCACCAGGGTTGTGAGTATTGAAGCTAGAGCAATGATCCTGGTTTTAATCACTGCTGATGAGAAACAAATTTTATAATTTTGGTACATATTGCAGTTCATATATTTTAACACTGTATTTTATGGTGTTATAAATATTGTTAAATGACTTTTAGTGTAGTTTTACTGTTTGGACTATAATGTATAAATTATATTACCGGTTTGGCAACAGTAGGCATCCAACTGTGTGAGTTTAATTGAAGTAAAGAACACATACCCGGCTGAACTATTTTTCTGCATATTTGGTTGCACTCAATACCAGGAGTGAATTGTTTGTTGAAGGTAGCTGCATGAAGATGGGAAACAGTCTGTCAGAAGGTTCAATCGTTAAAATTATATGCAACAATACTGCATCAGCAGAAAATATTTTAGAGCGTGTATTTAATTTCTGTACAAGTAAACAACTGGTCTTAAGAGCACGAAAAGGAGATGTTTAAACAGCACTGCAATGCAAAAGGTAGTTCAAAGGAGTAAAGGCAGGATTGCCACTTTAGTGTTCAAAAACCAGCTCATCCTAAAAAATGTCCTAAGACTGACTTTGAATTGTGACTTCTAAATATTTGTGCATTTTTGTTGCCTCTTGTATTTGAGTGTTTTAGAGAAACTTGTTTGGGTTTTTTTCCAAGACTCTTCCACTAGCGATTGTAAATAAACCTTAAATTGCTTTTTAAATAGGAGCTGAGGTAGTGGAACAGATTCAGAAGCGTAGAGGGGGTTTTGTTGTTGCTTCTGCCCCACATCAATTATTTTTAATATACTGACAAATAAATCAAATTTGGTAAAATCTATTATGCATTTAATTACAAGCGTGCATTTTATATTTTCATTTTCATGTGTTGTTGTAGCTTTGCTCTCAGTGTAGTCAAAATAATATTGATTTCATACAGGTCTTTAGAGTCTATCAGATGTCTGAGGCACACGCAGATACATGACTGCATGACTCATTGGCCAGCCTAAGCTGCAGAAGTGCACCTTCATGCAGAGTTCAGCTTAGATGGCAGCACTCCAAATGTCTGCATGCTTCAGTTTCTGCTAAGTCCACCACATCTTACTGTTCAGACAATTGAACTTAGAGTAGCTCTTGTGGAGCACCATCAGGACACCAGTGCTGTGTGCTTTAGTTGTGCTGAATCCATCAGACTTGGTGCTTAGCACATACTTATTTCTAACTTGGCTCTGTCCCTGGCGTTATGAGTGGGCTGTCTCTGAAGTTCAGCACTGTGTACTTTGGTTCTTATTCCACTCTCTCTCGAACCCCTGCTGTGACACCCTGGGAGCAGAGTAATTCGGAAGCATTTACGCAGAACTGGTCCTGCCCCTTCCTCTTATATAAATGTGCTATCCCATTCAGTACGGTTATCAGGCTTATTACAATGTGGTTGGTTTTGGCAGGGGGAGAGGGGGGTTGTGGTGGGTTTTTTTACCCCAACAATTTGTCAAGTTATTTAAATATCGCACAGAATTAGCTGTTCTGTCTTTGGAAACTGGGGTGGATGAAAGGTATTTTTAAAGATGCAGAGGGAAACTTTGACAAGTGATGATGAAGACTCTTGGTGTGCAGTATTGTGCTAGGACTGGTTCTCTCTTTAATGCTGACACACCTGAACCTTTTAACACTGACCTTAATAGGCATTCTGCCCTTCATATATAGTGTCCTTCAAAACTTCCCTGTCATTAAATATTTGAATCTTGGTGGTGAAACTCTTAGATATTTACATGGAAAAGGCATTGTGTAAATAATGTCTTAATAGGCTGCCTTTTTTTTTTTTCCTGTGTTAAACTGTAATTACAAGAGATGTTTTAGCAGAAGACACCACTAATATCATGGTTCAAAACATCAGGCATTTATGGCTGTATTTTACTGATTGTGCTATATTTTACTGATTATGCTATATTTTACTGATTATGCTACTTGTGTTGCGTTTGTTTCATTATTCATTATATTTCATATTCAGTAGCATTTTGATTTTGGTTGATTTGAATTCCTTGATCTTTCCAGAAAGATTTCAGGCACCTTCAAATGTGATGGGGATAAATAAGTCCTTGTAAAACTTTTGGGATTCTGTCACCTTGAAAGTTCCTTCTGCTGTTTCCATGAATGAGACAATCACATATATGTTCAGAAAAAGAAGCAGGATCCCCCCTACTTGAAAAACCCTAAAACCATGATGATTTAGAGTATTCCTACGTGGCAGATTCAGTTGCTGAGTTTTGCTGACAGAAAAAGGAACACAGTGTTGAATTTAGTCCATGTTGCCACTTGGTTGGGTTTTGTCATGTCAGGTCTCTGTTGAGCTGCTCTGCAGCGGACCTTTGCTTTTATCCGCTGCTTGTCTGTCCTACAGTATCAGTATCAAGTACAGACTGCATTCACATTGTGTGATAACAGTTGGTCCAGTTGGCAATGCTTTGTTAATGCTGACATTTAAGTTACTGGTATTTCTGTTAAATGACCGGTGTACAAATTCAGTTTCTGCTACCTTCCTATAACATCCTGCCCACTTTTACATGTGCCTATCCAGGAAACTCCTGGGCGCTGAAGTCTGATGTACAAATATATCAGTACAATTCTGATGTATTCAACTGTGATATTCCTTAACAGAGCTGTAACTCCCTATCTAAATTTAATTACATACAGCCTTCATCCAAAGTTTCCCTTGCTAAGTTCTTTTGGATTCACAGATGATATCATGCATTGTTCTCTATTTAAACATGAGAAGATTATGTTGTCATTTCTAGATTTGACTTGTCAATGTATCAACATGATTTTGAAGGAGGAGTATTCCTTCCCCCCTGCACTTTGTTGTATTTTTCAGAATGTCAGTTGTTGTTGCATTCTGTAACAGCCAGGAAGGTAAAGTATCTTTCTGCTGTAATTGCAGCATATTTAAGTTTATGATTTAAAGATATATCTGAAGATTTTTAATCTCAAGATCTGGAGTGGCAGATGCCATAAATCAAATTTGTTTGCTTTTGATTCGTGCTTTCTGATGGTATAGCAGATTCTGACATGTTCTCATTAACCTTTTCCAAAGAGTTAAAATTGTACAAGTGCATAATGTATATTTTATCACAATTTAATCTGAGGTCTTTTCCTGATATTAAGAAACAGCTCATGCCTGTTTCTCCATGGGCTGATGGTTAGAGATGTAGCAAGTAGCAGTCCCAGGTCATTCATGGATCTGGTGTCTCTGCTCACCCGTGAAGAATAAAAATTGCTTAGAAGTGACTAATATTCCTAAAGATTGTGATGAGGTTTATGTAGGTTAGTGCGTGCCTGCATGATTCGTCCCTCATTTCTTAAGGTTTTACTAATTTTCCTCTTAGCGTGGCTTTGGGTTTTGAGGGGTTTTTTTTGGTTTTGTTCTTGGAGGGGGGCAGGGTCTAGAAGGATTTGTGGGATTTTGTTTTTGTTGTTTTTTTTTTTTATTTATTTTTTTAAATATGTGTAATGTTATTTTGGGCATATGAGGTTAATAAAGTTACTAAAACAGTACCATTAATTAGATTTCAACCTGTGCAGTGCAGTAAAGGTTGAACAAGTTTTTAGTAGCCGTTTTTTTAAACTAAATGTTAGTTGCTGCTAATAAAGAAGTTGAAATGTGTTTTCAAAATGCTAGCCAAATTCTTGCTTAACAAGTCTGAATTTACATTTATCGATCTTATTTAACATCAGTGCATAATGCCAAAGTGACATGCATGCCTGTTTAAATGAGGCTGAAATTAGCTTAGCCAACCTATGACTGAGTGATTGCCATTGGCATATTTACCAGATACCCTTCAGCATCATGTCCTTTTGTCTTAAGATTTTCTGAAACAGAGTTTTCTTTCTGTACATTCTAGTAATAGCTTGTTTATGCATTACATATACATGTATGAAATTTTATAAATGCTGAAGCCACATATTGATGGCACGCTGCAGGATGAAATCTGACAACATCCATCATCGCTTTGTTTTACTTCTGTAGATCTGAAGTCAACCAGCTTAGTCAGGAAAAAGAGTATCTTCATGGCAGATTGGAGAAGATGCAGAAACGGAATGATGAATTGGACCAACAATGTATCCAGCATGGGAGAATGCATGAGAGGATGAAGTCAAGGTAGGAGGTCCTGTTAATCTGTCGATATGTGATATGCTCAAACTGTACTGGTTGTGTTGTGTAAACATAAAAATGACACTAGGTTGTGTGAAAGTAATATTCTTTCCTTATGAAAATGACCATTCCTTCTCCCTCCCCAAGCATTCTGTCAAGTTTTTTTATAACATCTTTTGCTTGTGCCATTTTAGATAAATAGAAGGAAAGCTTGAACAACATAGTCTTCCAAAGAATTTAAGCCTAGTACATATGTGTGTGGGCTGCTTCGGCTGTTCTCTGCTCTAACTTGGATGAATAGTCTTACCATATTAAAAATAAAAAAAAAAAAAAAAAAAAAAAAAAAAAAAAGAAAAAAAAAAAAAAAAAAAAAAAAAAAAAAAAAAAAAAAAAAAAAAAATAAAAAAAAAAAAAAAAAAAAAAAAAAAAAAAAAAAAAAAAAAAAAAAAAAAAAAAAAAAAAAAAAAAAAAAAAAAAAAAAAAAAAAAAAAAAAAAAAAAAAAAAAAAAAAAAAAAAAAAGGGAGGGAATACGGGGGAGGTGGGGAGGAAGGACAGAGGAGGTTATTCAGTGATATGAACGTAGAGTACAGATGTGGATTCCATAATGCCATGTAATAGTTGTATTTTGGGGGTTTACCATCATTTAACTTGCATAAACAGACAAATCTTAGTGGAGATCTCAGTAACCAGAGAAATATTAACAGCTTCCAGGCACCACTAACCTTTCAGACAAGCAATGACTTCCTCAGGAAGAGCTGGAAGCAGCTGCAGCAAGACTAGTCTGAAATATTTCCACCAATATCAATTGACTGTTCTGTCCAGAGTGTCCAGACTGATAACCCCTTGTGCTGTGATATGGATTAGATGTCCTCAAAGATCACTGTGGATTCTTTTCCTTTTTGTTCCAGAAACTTCATCTATGCTCTCTTGTTCTGTTTTCTGCTCTACACTAAGTATAGCAAGCACTTGAAAGAGCTTAAGCATGCTTGTGGAGGTAGAGGATGAAGTAAGGAGGAGGCTGAGCAGCAGCTCTGCAAATCCGGTCATCCAGGCTACCTCTTGTCAGTACTGAAAGGCAAACTGCAGTTTAACTTCATTTGGGCTGGACAGTCCTTACTGGGAAAGATTGTTTCCTTTTTTGATCACTGACCTACTGATAGGAACAGAGCTTGCATGCATTGAAGCAGCCAGTCCCTTATGCTCATTTTTTTTTAAGTATTGATTTTTAATTTTTTTTCTTTTTTTTGCTGTCATCCCTTTATTCTCTGTCTATGTAAGCTTCTTCCTTGCAAGCACTTCATATGTCCATTCCAGTTGCCCAGACCCTCTTCTTTCCTCTTCCTTTTCAGACTTCTGTCTGTTCCTCATCCTGTTCTTCTGTAACCCTGGATTGTCATCATCATTTATATCTCGAAGAACAGAGTAATTCAGAATGCTACAACTGTGCCACTAAGCTGTGTGACCATTTAGTCTTTCCTTTTATCTCACCTTCCTTTTGGTTTCTTTACTCGTGGTGGATTCTTACCATACGAAGAATGAGGGCTCAAGGTTACTTTCAGAAGGGGAAAAAAAAATCCCCCTCCCCACACCTTTTTAGCTCCTAGCTGTTCTTCTGTAGAATTATTAGTATCTAGTTGAATTTAAGACTGCTTTATAAGTTTTTGAGAAAACCTTTCCTCTGTCAGAACCAAATAAAATTGATCTACTGGAAAATGTTGCTTATTCTTTGCAGCAGCAATGATTATACACTAGAAAAGACTTAAAGCATTAATCCAGAACAGAAAAGTGGTTTGAAAGCAGAGTGGTCATGCTGCAGGCAATGCCTTACCTTCTGCTGCTGTTTTGCTGACAACAAGGAGAGAAAACAGGACAGTAATAGCATTTGTCTTATTTAATATTTTAGAATATGTAAATGCAGAAGAAATTATCAATTATTTGAAACATGAACAGTATACTTTATCAGCATTTTAAGAGAGGGCTTTTTAATATATTTTTAATTGTGATCTTGCACTGTATAATTTAAAATCCAGGTAATAAGTGACAAGACCGATATAATAAACTGCTTTAAAAAATCAGTGTAATCTAATTTTAATTTCCATGTAATAGATTTTCAGGATCAGTTCCCAAATGCTATAAATTAGTTATGAAGTTTACAGATCTGGGTGAAGAAAAGGAGAAAGTATAACTACTACAACAAATAAATCTCCCAGTTCCTTATATTTATGTTGAAAGACTTCCACCAAATAAAAACATCTGATTTTGAAAATAGAGACCTGACTGTGCTACTAAGTAGAAGTAGAACAGCCTCAGGTTTTCATCCATCACTTAGATACTAATAATCACAGCAAAATACTGTTAACACGTTTCCCCTTTGTATGCAGCTACAAATAACTGATCTTCTTGCAACACAGTCCCACAAAGTGCATTCCTACCTAATTTTCTAGATGCTGTTATTCTGGATCTCTTTAGAAAGTTTCTTTTATCAAAATGATTTTGGCTAAACTTGGGACCCAGCATTTGCATTTGAATAACGAGGAATTTTGGTATTTGTTTAAGAAGAAATCTCTGTCAATACTTGTGTTCTCCGAGGAAAATGTGACAGTCCCTGATATAACTGTTTTGTGGAAGAAGCAAGATCTAATTGATCAGTCAGAATTTCTTTTGGAGAAAAACAGTGTTTAACCAATCATAATAGTTGCATTCCTGAAAGTGAACAAGATAATTTTTTTACTGCCTCTCCTATCTTTCTGTGTAAATACATGCTGCAAATGAATACAGTCCAAAATTATATAAGAAAGTTTTAAAGAAAGAGATTGCAGTCATTAAAGAGGATATTGAATCAGCCTTTTCAATGTGATGGAAATTTCCAACCTTTTCAGTGAGTTTTTACACAGGGAAATATTTCATTAAAAGAAGTAGATGTCCATCTTAAATGATACAGCTGTCACATGTTACTGAGGCAAACTTGAATTGAAAGATGTATAGGTTGCAGGACTAGGGTGACATGTTAAGAGTGCAGTGGAGCTCATGAAAAGATGTTCATTTAATGTTTGTTAACCTAGCAACACTCTGGATCTTTGTTTAGATACATGTATGGGTTTTTTACATTAGTTTTTTTATTGTTTTGATATGGATTTTGCAGCTATCCACTTTAGCATTTTAGACAATGATTTGTTTAGCTAAGTAGATCATCTCGAAAGTATTCATTAGCATGACATAGGGTCACCTGTGTGTCACTAGAAGTGGTCATCATGTGTGACTTTATGGATCTGAATCTTGGAGAAATAAATTCTTGTCTGTTATGTAGCAAAGAGTCTTTTTGTATGAATTTTCAACCTCACAGCAAATTATGTTAGTAAATTCTTCAAATTCCCACTCTGTAGACTTGAGTTCACAGGAGAAATTAGCAGGTAGCAGAAAATACAGAATTTCTTATAAGGCAGCTGTAACGATAGGAACCAGCCAAGAGTAAAAAGAATATGAAGCAAAAATAAAAGGTTGGATTTGGGGTTTTTTTTTGGTGCTCCACTCCATGTAAAGTGAATAGATTCCAGACAAGGGAAAATTCAAACCCAAATGAATTGTGTAACTGTACATGTAAAGTAGGTTCATTCTCTCTTTAATCTGTTTTCAGACTGAATTCCCAGGCATGGGTTTACACCTCTGTAGTTAGACCAGTTCTGTAGATGCCGATCCACTTTCTCACAAGCCCTTTTCCCTCTCGATTTGGGAGTAAGAAGAAAAAGACAAGAATCTGCCTAGATCTTATTACTGTTGGAATGTATTTGTAAATAAGTATTAATTGCCGAAGCTGCCATGGGTCAGGATTTCATCAAGCTATTTAAGCTCTCGCTGAACTTAACTCCTGTAGTTACCACATTCGGTTATGGCTTTGCTTTTCTGCATCTTTTCTTCTCATAAAGCAGGCATTTGATTTTAAGTCAGCTATTTTGAGAATTTCTTCTATGGACAGCCAGTGTCTAAAATGGGAAGCATTTAATTAAATATAGCTTAGCTCTTTCCTATGTATGTGTCCTGTTAAAGACCCAGGTGATATGTGGAAATGCAGCAAATATGGAGTAGCATCTTCAAGCAGGAAAAGAAAATCCTAAGCAATTTCTTTCATTTTTTCAAGATGAGCTGGCCATACCGTTACTTTTTATCAAGCAGGTAAAGAAAAAAAAGCATTTGGACAGTAGTTAATTTGAAGTGGAAGTCTCTTTTAAAATCTTTTTAATAGAATGCATATTTAGAAGCTTCTAATGAGTTTTTTTCCAAACATTTTTTCAAACTAAGTTCAGCATATGAAATTTGGGGTCATGAATTTTCTCTGTTTTGGTGATTAGAGTTGGTATTACTGTTATTTTTGCTGTAAGGTGTGTGATCGCTGTTCAGTCTGTATAACATTAACGATAATAATACATTTTATGCAGATTTTTATGGGGCTTTTTGCTGTGGTAGGTTTTGGTGGTGATACTGTTAGATGTAATTCAACTGTATTTTTGCTAGCTAAAGTCAAAAAAGAAGAGCCTACAGGACTGGCAGTTTGGGGCAGATGTGTGTCTATTCCTTAGGCATCAGTGGTTGTAAGTTAACTATAAAAATGTTACAACCATCTGTGTAACAAGACGGCAGAGATCTGCTCTCGCCTGTTACTATAAATAAGAAGGAGATTTGTTTGACTTCATAGACATTGGATTTATAAAGACTATATGTGTCAAATTGTGACTACGTGCCATGTTGCTGAGATATGTCTGCAGCCAACTACCTGGGGTGTCTTCCCCTTCAGACATTCTAGTGCAGTGCAGCAACTGTGCAGAAATGTCTGTATAGCACAACATGTGACAAATTATATTTGTTTTCTACCTATGGCGAAATGTATGATTCTTATGGATAAGCTTATCTGGAAGAGTAGTTAAAATGGATTTTTAAATGGACCACTCAAGGAGTGAAAGTGCAACATTCAGTTTGACAAGGATTTTAAAGGCTTTTTACCACCATTAGG